TTGCCAATATATCTTTAACTCGTTTCCTGATAACCAATGAAAAATTAATCGCGGAAACTCCTTACTTCCTAATTCCCTAATGAAACAACGGATGTTCTACGAACCTTAAAACGATCTTAAATTTATAAATAAAAATTGTGTCTGACAATCATTTTAATTCTTCCAACGTTGAACGTCAGATTTCGTATTACTCATTCGATAAAAATATTACAGCAGTTTTTTTGTGGAAACGTTTTTTTTTCTTATTCCTCACAATTTGGACGGAAAACGATGTTCACACTGAATGAAATATCGTTTACCAATGAAGACAAGATGGATGATCGGATGAATCATCAACGATAAGGTCGCCCCGTAAGAGATCCAGGTGTAAGTAGCAGCGTTGCAGTTTCTTCCTACGAATTACGTCACTTTTAAAGAGGAGGGACTCGCAACGCGATTTCCGTGGCGGGCTTTATGATTGCCACATAGAATCGACGTCACTCTGCACGCGCGATAAATTTTCAATGAATTATTGCCACATTTCGAAAGAACCCTGTCTGTAGTTTCAACCGTCAGCGTAATTTTTAATGGTAATCCAAAATCAAGGAAATAGGAACATATCTTTTCGTAATGAAATAAATTACGTTAGTTGTCTTTAATCTAACAATGTGAAGATTTACCTGGTTTTACGATTACGACAATACAACGTAGATTAAGTTTATAATGTAATTCAGATTACAATCGTATAGATAAGAATAATTCAGCTCCCGTTATGGGGTATTCAAGCTCCTGGCAACGAGAACTCTGTCAGACGGTGAAACGATATTGATCACCACGGGTTTAAAGAAAAGCGACGTGTCCATCATTCCCTGACTCCGGGCGATCTGGTGCAACCGGCACGGCGACAATGCAACGCAGGGAAAGGAACCTTTTAGAAAATCGCCGAGACCGTAAAAAGGCCGCGGTCAACTTGAAAAGGAGACACCTACCTGCTGGTGGGCGTCTCTAGCTGCCTTTTACGAAGCTGCATCGCTGACGTACGTGCGTTATCCGACTGGGAACCAGTCGTTACGACGCGGAAAATATTTTTTACGCACCCTCGACCATCGATTTTAATCTTAGATCTAAGCAATTTCAGAATTCCTTTCAATAATTGTATAATAAATATGTTTTTAGAAGAAAATTTTTTATTATAGTCAATTTTTAGTTCGTTACAATTCAGGATTAGAATAATCATTGTATATTAAGCTGGTAACTTTATCTCGGTTAGGTAACAGTCTGGATTACGTTTTACTTTACAATACGTGACACTTGCAAATCGCCACTAAATTGAGTCTGTAATCTGAGCGAAGTATCAGTCGACGAATATCGAAATGATTAACGTCGTAAAGAAGTTCGAGTGAGCATTAATCAGCTCGAGTCTTTTTATGCCAATAAAATGGGAAATGAGGAATGAATAAATCCACCGGTATGGAACAGATACGAGATCTTCTGGCATTGTGCTTACACATGTACGAGCATAACGCGTCACACACGGGGAAGATTTACAAATTTATTCCG